TTTGGGTTCCCTTTTTGGAAATTTGTTTTTTTTTTGGAAGGGGCCCCCTTTTTTTGCCAGGGGCCCCCCCCAAAAAAAAAAAAAAAAAAAAAAAAAAAAAAAAAAAAAAAAGTAAAATAAATAAATAAATAAAAATAGCAAAAGAATGCTTGAATGCTTGAACCGGGTTGGTTGTTTCCTTTGTTGTTCTTGTTTTTGTTCTTGTCTCATCTCAACTCCGGCTCTTCACCATCACAAAAATTAATCAATCAATCAATCAATCAATCGTGAATGAATGAATGAATCAATCAATTAATTAAAAAAATAATAATAATAATAAGAATAATAATAATAATAATAGTAATAAAACAACATCATCAATCTTTGGCCAATGTGGAAAGAAAAAAAAAAAAAAAAATTAGGAATTAATAATCATTTTTTTTTCTTTTTTTTTTTTTTTTTTGGTTTTTTGGTTTTTTTTCTGTTTTCCTTGTTAGCCTTTTGCTGGTTTCCCGCAAACGCATTTTACAAAAAAAAAAAAAAAAAAAAAATTACTATTAGAATCCGTAGAAATGATTTTTCCGAAGACAGGGAAAAAAAAAAAAAAAAAAAAAAAAAAGAAAAGAAAAGAAAAAAAGAAAAATTAAAGAAAGAAAGAAAGAAAGAAAGAAAGAAAGAAAGGCAGCAGACAAAATTTAAGCTACGCTTTCTTTGGTTGCGTTTGTTACGGGTTGGGCTTCTTGCTTCATATTAACTTCGCCCTCGCTTTGAGATGTTCTATTACCCCTTAGATTGTTACGGGGTACCCGTTTCCTATAGCGGGGACGAGGGCGAGGACATTCTCCTTCCCCGCCTTGACCTTGACCGTCATCGCTTCTCGGTCTTCTTGCCGGACGACGGTAGTTCCTTGCGAAAAAACGCCGCGGAGGTCCTTTACGACGTTGCGGCGGACGATTTTCTCCCCCTTCCCCTTCCTTTAGAAGAAAAACAAAAAAAAAAAAAAAAAAAAAAAAAACAAACATCATGGCGACACCGTCAGTACGGTACAGGTCTATCTATCTATCTATCTATCTATCTATCTATCTACATTCGATTCGACATCATTTCCCTTACCCCGTCTTGTAAATCTCTTGGAGGTCCGCGGGGTCGAGGACGGTATCCGTAATTGGGTCGAAATCTCGGACGGTATCTCCTCTGCTGCCCTTGATTTCCACCCTCTAAATTTTTGTCATCACCGTCGTCGTCTCTTTGTCTACGCGGACGAGGTGGCAATCGTCGGGTGTAATACCACTGCCGATATCCCCTCCGTTTGTCGGCAGCGTAAGGAGAGCCTTTCACGGCTTCTCCATTGGGTCCCGTCACGTTTGCGGCTTCGTTCCCTTTTCCACCCACGACAACGTCAAATTCAACGACTTCTCCATCTCCCACCGATCGTACCAATTTTTTCGGATTATTTTTAACAATAGCCGATTGATGAACAAACACATCTTCCTTGGTGTCATTTCTGCATTCACAAAAACAAAACAAAAAAATTTACTCGCCGACCTTCCATTCGCTCCCCACCTATCCTCTCACCATCCAAAATGACCAAAATTATTAAAAAATTCTCATCGATAGACAAGACAAGTTATGTATAGTCGCGGACATTTTTTCATAATTAATAAATAAATTAATTAATTAATTAATAAACTCACCGATTAATAAATCCGTACCCGCTCTTCACGTTAAACCATTTAACGGTCCCCGTCACTTTGTTGGCTGAAATCAACAAAAAAAAAAAAAAAACGGTTTTTTTTTTAAAATTTGAATTTGAATTCGACACATTCGAAAAGAGAGAGACGGAGAGAGAAAGAGAGAGAGAGAGATAGAAAACTTTTAATTCACATAAATCAAACCCCAAGCTCTGCTATACACGTAGACATTTTTTTTTCCTTTCTTAATACAAGAGCCATAATAATAATAATAACGTTATAAACGATAATATAAACGAGAGAGATAAATTCAACGGTCATTTATATATAAACTTTGAAAATTATTTTAACCGTAACTAATTTTTTTTAATTGCAAAATTATCTTTTTCATTATTATTACAAAAAAAAATTACATTAATATTATTATTATTATTATTATTATTATTACCTTGAAAATAAAAAATCTCCTTCACTCCCCTTCATTTATTTCCTACTTAATTTACTTTTTAATAAATAAAAATATTTTTATTGATTAGTCATGAAAAAAATGACATTCAAAACATTTAAAATTCGAATTCGACATCACTAAAAGTGTTTGTAAAATTGAAAAAAAAAAAAAAAAAAAACAAAAACAAAAAAAAACGAAAAGAAAAAAAAAAATTTGCAACGCAATAAAAAAGAAATTCTCGTTCGAAAACCGTTAAAAATTTTTTTTTTTTTTTTTTTTTTTTTGGAATGCACTCGATTATGACAAGTTCGTACAATTTAAAACATGTCACGAACGTTGTAGTATTCGGGTGATCTTTTTTTTTTTTTTTAAATGAAAAAAAAAAAGTAGGAGATAATATTATGCATAATTAAAAATATCACGAATTATTTTAAATAAATAAATAAAACGTGGAATCAAAAAAAGTGAAGAGAAAGGGGGGGAAAAAAAAAAGATTGACGATGAACTTTTTTTTTTTTTTTTTTTCGTTTTGAAAATGATATATCAATTTAAATAATAAAAAAAAAATTTTAAAAGAAATAACGTTACGTTAGAGAAATATAATAGAATGACAAACGAACGAAAAAAGCAAAAAAAAAAAAAAAAAAATTTTTTTTCTGTGCATGTATTTTATAAGGCCGCACGTGCCATTAAAAAAAATGGCCGACGTGAAATTGGAGAATCGCACACGAACGGCTTTTTGCTTAAACGATTTGATATAAATTAAATAAAATTATGTCTTACCGATGACCTGTTTTTGCTGAACATCCTTTGGTTGTTCGGGCTGCTTCTCCGGGTCACCCATGATGTTCGGGGTAGATGGTAAAAGTTGGTAAAAAAAAACTCCGAACCGATGTTCTTCCCTTTCGGTTTGTTGAAATCCTTCTGAGAATCTCGTCACATTTCCCGCACTGCTTTTTCATTCCCTTCGTTTTGATTGGCTGATTCATTTTGTTACGAACTCTCTCATTGGTCGATTTAAAACGTTTCGTCATCGCTAGACAAAAATTCAAACTGAAAAGTCGATAATTGTTTTTGAAAACAAATTTTTCGAAAAATCGAATACTCGACGCGTAAATAAAAAAAAAAAAACCTTTCAATTACTTTTTTTTTTTACAAATATTCCCCATTATTTATTAATTTATTTATTTTTAAATAAAAATTATATTTAATTTTAAATCTTTTTCGAATAAAAAATCATCAAGACTTTCTTTTAAATGACTTCATTACCCATTACTAACAATTAATAATGTCGTTGTAACATGTAAATGACATGTAGAAAAAAGTTAAATTTTCCTTTCTTTCTTAAAAAAATCTAACAAAAAACATTTATAAAAAAATTCTTTTCAAACCAAGAAGAAAAAATAATAATAAAATAAAATGTATGAAATCAATAAAATAATAAAAAATTTAAAATAAAATAAATTGTGTTTTGGTCACATTTGGCAAGTAATGACAAATCATGGCATTTGTAGACAAGATATTTCTGCCATCTTTTACATTTTTTCTTTTTGTCTTTTTTCTTTAAATTTATCCTTAAAATAAAATAAAGTAAAGTAAAGCAAATCAAAATGAATTCATGGGGGGGGGGGGGGGATAACAACAAAAAGCAAAAAAAAAATTTTTTAAATCAAACAAGTGGAAAAAATTAATTACTCCTTCTACCAACTACAATAATATCATTATCATTATTATCATTATTATTCTAAAGGTAAACTTGTTTTTTCCTTTTTTTTTTTAAATGAAAGAAATAATATATGCAATCTGATCTTACTGTTCAGCCATGTGTCTGAACTTTCATTACCTTAAAAAAAATTTAATAATAATAATTGTTTTAATTACTGTTAACTCTAAACTTCTCATATTAATGAGAATTTTAACGGTTATATTAATAATAATAATATTATAATTAAGTGAAAAAAATTTTTATTTTTAAAAGATGATAAAAGTACATTATTATTATTATTATTATTAGGCAGTTTTCAATCCGTTTACAAAATATATATATTAAACGGCCATCCGTTCGTCATGTTTCCAGAAATTTCTTAATTAATAAACAAAATAATAATAATAATAATTTTGAAAATTTGAAACGAACCCAAAAACCATAATCAGGTATATAATAAGATCCTCGCATTGCAGATCAAATTAATTCTTAATTAATAATAATAATAATAATTATTAATTAATTAATAAAAAAAAAACTAAAAAAAAAAATTTCTGAAAACATACAACAACAAATCCAAGCCACTATATTATCATATTATCATATTATCATTATCATTATTTTTAAAAATCAAATAATAAAAAAAAACTATAATATTATTATTATTATTATCATCAGTGTATTTTATCCATATCAAAAAAAAAAAAAAAAAAAAATTTATTTCAAGTGACATTATTACTAGTGTTATCATTATCATTATCGTGTGTATTTTTTTTCTTATGATTTATTTTCCCATTGACAAAAAACCGAAAAAAATTTTATTAATAATAATAATAATAATTTTTTAAATTAAAAAAAAAAAAAACCGTTTTTTTCTTTACTTTTTCCCATTTCACTACTTATCGTTATATAATTAATTATGATGTAATTAAATATTATTATTATTATTATTGATCGATTACATTTTAATGTTTGAAATTAAAAATTTACCTTGTTTACTCTCTCTCTCTTTTCCTATTATTATTATTGTTATACGCCTTAAGTGAAAGAGAGAGAAAGAGAGAGAATGGGAGAGAGAGACCAAAAAAAAAAAAAAAACGTTAAAAATTTCAATATGGATAGATAATATTATTATTATTTTTTTAAACATAGTGTGTGAGTGCGTTCGTACTTGCATTTGTGAGTACGTGCGTGTGTTACTCTCTTATTTATCATTATTATTATTATTATTATTATTATTTTTCAATCAATTTTTTGATTTTTTTTAATTTTCGAAAAATTTTGCTGAGAGTTGTTGAATTTTTTCACATCGTCTCTCTCTTTCTCTCTCCCTTTTCCAATACATTATCAATCATTATTACTTATCATCATCATTATTATTATACTTCTTAACATTATTTATTATTATTATTATTATTATTATTATTAAACATAATATCAACTAAATCACACCACTAGAAAAAAAACTTTTATTTATTTTTTTTTTTTTTTATGATATCGTAATAATATATTTTCAATTTTAAATGAGTATCACTATCATTATCATTATCATTATTAATATTATCATTATCATTATTATTATTATTATGCCTTAGTATATTAATTAATAATTAATTAGATCGACCAGAAACAAATTCATTCTTTTCAAAAAAAAAAATCAAATTCAAAATTCAAATTCAAATTCAAATTTATTTATTTATTCTTTTCGTACCATCGATTAATCGTTTTTTTAACGATAATATCGAACGATAATCGATCCATCGATCGATATTAAATAAATTTTTTCCGTAAAACGTTATTTATATGGAAATTGAGAATTTGTTTCAGTTCTTATTCATAAAAATCATTTTTTTTAATAATACGTATATAATAAGATGTGTGTAATAATAATAATAATAATGGTTTTTTTTTCATTCAAATTATCATCATTACAATAAATTGTTTCCCTGTTAAACAAACGTTGGAAAAAAAAAAAAAAAAAAAAAAAAAACAAAACAAACCCAAAAATTAGATGATAAATCTTTAAAAATTCTTTCTTTTCTTATTCTTATTCTTATTATTATTATTACTACAAATACAAGATGATATCGTTTGTTATTTTATGTAATTTTCATATTAATTATGTTGATTTATTATTATTATTATTATTATGATTTAAAAAAAAAAAAAAAAAAACCATAAAATTAAATAAAAATGGGGGCAAAGCAATCAGAAAAAAATAAAACAACAAAACCTTACTAATAATACACGTGTAAGTGAATCATCTACGGTTCGTATAAAAAAAAAAAAAAAACAGGAACAAAAAAAAAAGAAAAAAAAAAATAATTTTATTATTATTATTATTATTAAAAACAAACCCTAATCCACATTTTTTTTTAAAGAAAAATAAATTTTCTCAATTTCCCAGGATGAAATAAAAAAAAAAAAAAAAAAAAAAAAAAAAAAAAAAGAAAAAAATTTTTAAAACAAACCTTTTTGGTTTGATGCAAGTCTTATTATATTAATAACCCGAAACGTTTATTTTCTCACGCTAATTTTTATCATCATCATCATCGCAATTAATAATAGTATTATTATTATTATTATTATTTAAAATTAAAACAGCAAACTTAAAAGTATACAAAAAAAATTAATTAATTAAATTAATTAAATAAATTAAAAAAAAAAAAAAAAAAAAGATGTTTGTTTCTGACCCGGAGGGATTCTCTTAAATGAGAGAACAATTTTCTCATTTTTATCAAAAAAAATTCAATCCCTATTCAAATCGAAACGAATTATGTATTATTATTATTATTATTATCAACGATTTTTTCTCTCTTTCTATGTAAATAAAATAAAATAAAATAAAAAAAAAAAAAAACGCAATCAAACACACGACAAAATCAATCAATCAAAGTTTAATAAAATATGTTTAAAAAAAAAAAAAAAAAATTGTTTTTTTTGTATTTAAATTTTTAAAAAATAATATAATAATAATAATAATAATAATACAAATTAAAAATCAGACAGACTCAAAACTGTTACAAACAAAAAATACCGATTTTTCTCGGTACGACCAAAACAAAAAAAAAAGCGAAAAAAGACAAAAGAAAAGAAAAGAAAAGAAAAAAAAATTATTTATGGATTGCTTTAAATCTTATTCGTGTATTAATTACTCTCTCCTCTCCCCTCTCTACCCTTTCTCCCGTATGCTTTCCCTTCTTCCCGAACCATCATCAATTGTTAAATTATAAATAAATAAATAAATAATAATATAAACAAAATAAAATGATCCCAAAAACGCACGAATATAAACAAATCCATATCATTCATCCCCGCAAAATCACCCTTTTGCCCCCCCCCCCCGCATGCCTACCATCAGTTGTTTATTCGTGTTTGAAATTAAAAAAGCAAACAAACGACAAACGGGTAATAGCAGTAAGTGGCAGTACAACCACCACCACCACCACCAGCAGTAACAGTAGCAGTAGTAGCAGCAGCACCACCACCACCAGCAGTAGCAGCACCACCACCACCAGCAGTGGTAGCAGCAGCAGCAGCACTTTCACCAGCAGTAGCAGTAGCAGTACTACCACCACCACCACCATCACCACTTCACATGATACAAGAGTACGTACAACTGATAATTTTATATATATAAATATATATATATAAACGTAAATAATAAATTAATAATTCGAATTTATTATTGTTGCTTTCGATGGTTTATGTACACACAATCAATACATAAAATTAAAATTAAAAAATATTCGTTTTGTTTTAAATTCCCGATTTAAAGTTATGAGCCTTTCCTTTTTCTTTTCCGCTTTTAATAAAAAAAAAAATGTTTTAAAATTAAATTTTCCAACTTTTCATTTCTCTCCCTTTCTCCCCCTTCATTCCATCCATCTATTCCTTTTATTTTTTTTTTCATTTTCCATTTTCTCTTCTTTCTTCCTTCTCTCAACCAAGTTTAGAAAAAAATAAAAAAAAAAAAAAAAAAGATTAAAAGAGAGAAAAAAAAAAAAAAATTAAACAAAACAAAATCATTTAAAATAATTTTTGTTGTTATTATTAATAATAATAATAATAATAATAATAATAATTTGTATTTGCTTTTTACCGTTTGTATAATTAATAAAGCTAAATTGAGAGAAAGAAAAAAATTTTTTTTTTTTTTACAGGTTATTATTATTATTATTATGCTGTCACTAACATGCAATAGTGATAGATATTGTTATTATTACTATAAAAAAGATGTTGTTATGATGATCACGTGGATGGGTTTTTTCTTTTTTTTTTTTTCCTTATAAAAAACAAAAAAAATGTATTTAAAAAAAATTTTTTTTTTCTTTTCTTCTTTTTCTTCTTCATCTTTTTTGCTTATCATCTTTTTTTTTTTTTTTTTTTTTTATGCCGTGCTTTCATTTGCATTGTTGGCAGCAGATTGGGCTCCCTGCTTCCCCTTGGCATCTCCCTCACTTTGAGAGTTTTTATTTACCCTGACGAAGTTACGGGGAAGATTTCTGTAGTAGCGTGGGCGTGGGCGAGGGCCTTGACCCATGTCACCACCGGCACCTCCACCACCGCCTCCGCCTCCGCCACCTCCTCCTCCTCCTCCTTGACGTTTGTTATTGTAGCTTCGCGGTCTCACCACGTAGTCCCACTCCATTTTGTCCTTGTACGAGCGATAAGGTTTTCTGCGAGGTCTTTGGTTGCGATTCTCGCCGCCCATTCCATCCTAAACAGAGAGAGAGAGAGAGAAAACGACTCAAGTAAATTTATGATATTGAAAAAAAAAAAAAAAAAAAAATTAAAAATAAACGGTTAACGTATATATATATATATAGAGAGAGAAATTGAGTCATACTCCGTCTTTTTGGTCTCTCGGAGGTCCACGTGGGCGCGGGTGATAGTTGTAATGAGGGCGAAATATAGGACGGTAGCGCCTTTGCTGGTTACCCTGATTGTCATTTTCTCCCTTTTCTCCATTTTCACCGTTTTTCCCGTCTCCTTCTTCGTCTCTCTGCCTTCGCGGACGATTTGGCATGGGTCGTCTGTAATACCACTGATAAACTTTACGCTTGTCTGCAGCATAGGGAGATCCCTTAACAGCTTCACCATTGGGTCCGGTCACGTTCGCTGCTTCGTTTCCCTTTTCACCCACGACAACGTCAAATTCGACGACTTCTCCATCTCCCACGGACCGAACAAACTTTTTGGGATTGTTCTTAACGATAGCGGTTTGGTGAACGAATACATCTTCTTTGGTGTCATCCCTGAAAGCATGTACAGGTCGCAGAGTTAGTTTTTATATACTTCACAATCCGTTAATTAAAAAAAAAAGAAAAAAAAACAAAGAATAATAGTAATGAAACAAAATGAATGAAACGAAAATTTATTTCTTCCAAAAATTCTGGAGAATTCTACCGTTACGGTTATAAACGCAAGGTACTAGACTACAACACAAAGCGAGGTCATCGGCCTGTATGTTTCAATTAACCACACCTCTTTGCTCTAGGCACACATCTTTTTTTTTTTCTTTTATATATAGAGTACCTTTGCAAAAATTACTCGTACAAAATAATAATAATAATAATGTTAGTAATAACAATTACAACAACGACAAAAATAATAATAATAATTTAAGTTAATATTTTATTCGATTTCCTTTACTTACCTGTTAATGAATCCATACCCGCTCTTTACATTGAACCACTTAACGGTCCCGGTCACCTTGTTTGCTAAAAAAAAGAAAACAAAATTTAATTTAATGTGTAAAATTTGGCGGGTAAACGACTTATAATACTAATTATTATAAATATCATACAAACTAATCACAATTAAACAAAGAAAAATTGTTTAAAATTTCCCATCACCATCATCATCATTATTTTTTTTCCCTTTCTCACTTAAAAACGCTTTGTTTCTTTTATAGTCATAAGGGTTTACAAGAATAATGTTCAGAATTAAGAAGAAATCATGTATTAGTAATTAAAAAAATGACAAAAAAAAAAAAAAACCGGATTTTATTACTCATAGTTATATTTAAACAAAAAAAAAAAAGTTTAATTTAATGTTGATATGTTTAGTTTAGCAAAGTTGAAAGTAAATTATTGAGTAATAACGCAACACACACACACACAAAAGGTCAATAACGCACTAATAATGAACAATTTGATTTTAATTGTAAAAAGAAAAAAACCTCATTTCTAAATACTTGAGTAATGTATATACATACGTAATTGTAAATATTGTGAAACAAAGATATAATAAAAAAAAAAAAAAAGAAAAACTTTATGAAGGTACGAACTTGGATATGCAAGATCAATTAAAGCATCCACCCATTCCAAGGTCGTTATTCAAACACATCGAGTATTTGAAAATATTAATATGCATTAACTATATTTAGAAATGAAATTGCGTGTCGTAAATATTATTAATAACATTGATATTTCAAAATGCATGGCATGTAATTCATGAAACTACGTCTAAAATAATTCAAATCAACACACGTGCTAAAACAAAATGGCGTGTTGTTGAAATTTAAGGCGGTAAAGTAACAAAGCCATGTCTCGTTTTAATTTGATTTTAAACGTTTGTAAACTTACCGATGACTTGCTTTTGTTGTTGAACAGCCTTAGGTTGTTCGGGCTGCTTCTCCGGGTCAGTCATGATGTTCCGGGTAGGTGGTAAAAGGTGTTAAAAACTCCGAACCGATTTTCTCACTCCTTCTTCCAGCTTGGTTGAAATCCTTCTCAGCTTCATCCGCTCATTTCTAAAAGTAAATTTACCTCAGTCACTCTCATTGGTCGATTATGAGCAGACTCGTTTCTCATTGGTTGAATTATATAATGACGTCACGTTTTCAATAGTTTTTTATTGGATTACCTTTTCCATCAATAATTTCACAGAAACAATGAAATGCTATATAAAAAAAAAAACTGCTTTAAAGTTTTTTTTTTTTTTTTTTAAAAACTACCTTATATAGTAAAATAATATTTTCTGAACTTGAGAAAAAGAAAAAGAAAGAAAACTAATTCGTACAAAATGATTTTTACACGTGCACACGTAAACGACCAACTTAGATTTTATTTCAATTTTTTAAATTATTCATTCATTAATTATTAAATAGTTATTGACAACAGGAAATTATTACAAAATGGCCGTTTTATTATAGCAAATGATATTATTAAATTTTTTTTTTTTTATTACTTTTGAAACAACTACTTAATGCAATAAATTAATAATTATAGCCATATACTATGACAGGATAATAATATATATATATATAATCATTCAATAAAAAAACATTTAATATAAAACATCAGAAAAAAAAAACAAACAAACAAACAAAAAAAAATTTATTAAATTTCTTTTTATCACATATTCTTTTTTTTTTTAATAACTCATCAATTATTATTATTATTATTTATCGTGAATTGTTTTTTTTTTTTTTTTTATTACGCAGTTTGTGTTCGATCGAAAAATATTTTTTTATTTACAACGTTTGCATTTTTTTTTTTTTTTATTGCTTTTTACAAATAAAAATTATATGATAATGAAAATGATATTAATAATTAATAATTTGACTTTAAATAATTTTTTCTCCTTTTTTTTTTGTATTACAAAAGGAAAAAATGACCCCATCTTCACGTGACATCTCGTTTTCCTCATTTACGAATTTGCTGTGACTTCTTGAATATTTGCTATTATTGTAAAATCTTCTCCTAATTCGCGACAAAGAACCTTAAAATCAAAAAAAAAAAAAAAAAAAACCACATCACAATCCACGTGTTAATCCACGTTTCTTTCTTTCGAAACAATATTGAAATAATAATTAAATAAAATACCCTAAGTCTTTCTTGTGAAGCTGGTACGTTGGCTAATTGTTCTTCGAGTTGTTCCTTTTCCTCCTTCAACGTTAACCTAACGTCCGAATCTAATTTTTCCAATTTCCATCCACCTTCTCCGTCAAATTGTAATAAATGAGTGTGAAATTTCCTGTTTAAAGACAAACAAAAATAAAACTACCTTTCTAAAAACTGTTAAAAAAAAAAAGGTTCAAAAAGGTTTACCATAAAGATGGCCTGTGTGTGATTGTCAACAACGTTATCCCTGCATCTTTACACGCTTGATATATTCTACTTTCCACGTCTATCGACACGGCCGACGTGCATTCGTCCAAAAGAGCAAATTTAGGTTTGTGATAAAATATTCTAGCCATTGCCATCCTTTGTTTTTCACCACCGCTGAGTACATCTTTCCAATCGGCACAAGCATCCCAACCTCCTTCTCTTTCCACAATGTAATTTAAAAACACCAAACCTAAAACGACAAATAATCATTATTATTACCACTTCCATCAACTCATTCAAGGTTTTACCTTCGACTCGATTCGTACCTAAATATTTCTCCAACTGTTTATCCGTTATTCCTTTCGACTGCATATCTTGCACCGTATCCGGATAAATAATTTGATCTCGAAGACTTCCCAGGCTCATGTATGGTCTTTGAGGAACGTAAAACATGTCTTGCAACACCGGTTTGCATAGGTGACCGTTATAAACTGGCCACAAACCCGAAAGGATTCTAAACAGGGATGATTTTCCGCAACCGTTCGGCCCTGCGTAAAAATTATTCAATTAAAATTCATTTTAAAATATTTAATGGCGGAAATTTTGTTGTAAAATAATAATTACCGGTAATCAAAATATGTTGGCCAGGTGTAACGTTCAACGTTAGGCTTCTTACGACAACATCACAGTTAGGTGTAATTATGGGTACGTTTACTATCGAAATGGTACCATCGGAAGTTTCAGTTATTCGACCTAAAGGAAATCAAAACAAAAATCAGAAGTCATTTTATTTTACAATCTACCATAAAACCGTTTCATGTTTTAAACGTGCCTTTGGCCACGGGACGTCCATTTTCGAATACCAACGATGCTCCGTTTAAATTTTTCGTCGTTTTCGACAAGTTTGCCGTTGTTCTCACGTAATTCCCTTCTTTGGCTTGATCGAAAACTCTCAACATTTCACCGACTCTCGATGTGTAACCGACTAATTCAACTATTTCCTTATACGATGACATGAGCCTTTCAACGGCGTCCGCTCCGTTCATCAACAAATTTCTCGCCGTTGTTAAATATTGCGTTCTTTCAGACACGCTCGCATCGCTCGAATCCCCTAAAAAAAAATTAATTTTAATTAACGATTTATTGATTCGATCGAACATTAATCAATAATTTATCTCAAACTACTACTACTACTACTATTATTATTATTACTATTATTTGATAAATTCGCTTCAGTAATTGCATTCACTTAACAAAAAAAAAATTTTTTTTTAAATTTTTTCCAATTATTAAACTGTTGCGCACTCTTGCGTGAAAAAAAAAAATTACATTTTAATAGAAGGCTGTGAGAAATTTTTGTTAGGATTTGCATTGTTTAAAACTAAGGGAAAAAACAAAACAACAACAACAACACTCTACGTTTTCATTTTCATTTCTTTTATGTTTCACTTTGCAAAACTTTTGAGAAATAATAATAATAATAAAAAAAACAAGTTTTTCAATACATTACGTTGTAAAAAAGAAGAAGAAGAAGAGAAAAAAAGACAACAAAAGAAAAACAAACACACGTTCAATTGCGCGCGCCCTCGCCCGCGCCGCATAAACAATTGTCTTCTGCTACATTCGAACGAGGGTTGATTGTGATTGGTCATTTGAAGAAAAGGGATAAAAGATTCGTTTAACGTACTTTTTTTTAAAAACAGGTTTCAAATAATTATTATTATTATTATTATTTTGCAATTTTTTATTTTTCCCCCTTCCCCTTCCCCATCGACCAACGATTTAAAAAATAAAAAAACTTTGTCGTTTTATCTAAAAAAAAATTCGTAATTGAAAAACCTTGAAACAAAAAAAAAAAATCAATTGTAATACAATAATAAGACACAAACATTTGCTATTTAATCCTTGGCATAATCATCTATTATTATTATTATTATTCTTGGAACTGATAATATCCAATATTTTCAAGTATGAAATATGACGGACCGAGTTCTTGTATTACAAAGTACGTTTTACGGGTAATTAAATTCTTATTATTATCATTATTATTATTAATTTTTGTTTCTGTTATTTTTATTTTGCACGCAATTTTTTTTATTATTTTGACTTTTTTTTTTCCTTTCCTTTCCAGATTTTTTTTTTTTTTTTTTGTAATCTAACACGGGGGTCAATCTCCAAAATCCTCCTTTTTTTTCCGTTTTCGTCTTCCAAGGTCATTTTTACGATGATAATAATGATTATAAAAAAAAAAAAAATTTTTTTTTTTCAAGGGATTTCAATTCGTGATTTTTTATTATTGTGCGTGAATGCGTGCGTGTTTAACACTCATTAAAACCATTAGGGAATGAACCATAACGAAACGAACGATCTTGCGACATTTTTTTTTTTTTTGTCGCCAAAAAAACAAATGATTATCATGAACAAACCCCTTCACGCGTTCGTTCCTTCCACGTTCGTGAAACGTAAACATTTTAACGAACCGCCATTTCTTTTCCTTTTATTTTCTTTCTTTTTTTGTAATAAGGAAAAGGAAAAAAAAAACTCGTTTTTACTTTTTGGTGCGGGGTTGGGGAAGGGGGAGTGGGGGGCGAGGGGAAGAAAGAAAAGGAAAAAGAGAAAAATTATAGAACGACACGAAAAAAAATAAAAAATGGTTTGCCTTGATTCTTTTTTTTACGGTTAAATACATTTTTACTCGTTTTTTTTGTAAAGTTGCTTTGACAAATTGCGTTTTAAAAACAAAAAAAAAAAATTTTTTTTCTTTCCTTATCATTTCTTCGATAAGGGGTCAATCACATTTAGAATTGCCAAAATAATAATAATAATAATTATCCAAAAATGAAAGCTCGAGAGTCTAATTAACTTAAATAAACGAAACTTTTTGTCAATTTGATGTCTCGAATGAAAAGCATTCAGAGTTGTCAAAAATTCTAGAATATTCGATTCCGCCCCCTGTATATTTATTTCCTCTCCCCTCCTTTTCATTCCCCCCTCTCTCTCTCTCTGCCTCTCTGTCTCTCTCTCTCTTTGCCTCTCTGTCTCTCTCTCTCTTTGCCTCTCTGTCTCTCTCTTTCTCTCTCTCTCTCTCTCTTCCTATCAAGATAGGTACTTACTTTTCGTTAGAGAAACTCCAGCAATTATGGGTAGAGAAATCATTATCATTCCAGTTCCAGACCAAACGTATTTCATTAAAAATTGTTCCAGCATGACAAACCACAATCTTTGAGCGTAAATTTTGTTCATTTGATTCGTGAGTTGTTTGTATGCTTTTTGTAAACAATTCAATTCAACCTGAAAACGAAAAAATAAATTTTTTTAACTTGAAAACAACATGAAAAAAAAAATCCTACTTTACCACCCATAATTCCCGCAAAAAAATAATAATAATAATAATAAATTTAAAAAAAAGTATAATTCAAAGTGAAGAAGAGGAGGACGAGGACGAAGGGGAAAAGGGGGGGGTTATTTACCCGAGGCAATGACCTAGATCAAACGAATTTTATTGACATTATTAAAAATTGACGGTTAACGAACGTTCTGCGTAACGGAAAAAAAAGAAATTGCTTTTATTATTATTATTATTATTATTACTGTAATTACTCCGAAGGAATTTTACGATTGTAATGTGATTGATTGAATAATACGGGAAAATATTTAAACTCTTTATCCCCCCCCTTTTTTTTTTTTTTTTTTTTTAAAGAGATGCCAATAAAACCGCCATCTTTGTTTTTTCCTTCTTCTTCTTCTGATTCGATTCCTCATTCATTCGTTTTATTACCCACCTTATGGCCACCGTAGAAAGCGATTTCTTCCGCGTTTGTTATTATCCGGGAATGAATGCTTCGAAGATAACCTTTTCTGTGAGCTTCTTCCGCGACTAGTTCACCAAATTTCGGACTAACGCATTTCAATATTAATCCCGTCGAACACATTACGAAAGCAGCCAACAGGGGACCTGGACAACAAAAAAAATAAAATTAATAATAATAATATATACATATAATTTTTCGTTTTTGTTTTCGAAATGACGCAACCTAAAACATTACATAATTCAAAAACAAAAAACTTTTAACAAAAGAAAAAAAGAAAAAGAATTGAAGCGAAAATTGTTTGGAAACAAAACAAAACAAAGCAAAACCAAACAAACATCGGCGCATTCAATAACAACAACAACAACAACAACAACAACAATAACGACAATAACAATAATAATGATAATGATAATAATAATGATATGATTACCGGGTATGGTTGAAACACCCATTCTTCTGCTGCTTCTCGCCAATGCAAACGTTATGAGTACGCAATCCAAAAGGGGTTTCGTTATGTGACTATACAAATGAGCAACGCTATCCGTAAACGTTGATATGTCGTCCGTCAGTCTGTGATCCGCATTTTCGATTCTTCCATCCAAATTCGATACCCTATAGTATATCTGATCCGAAAAATAAACTTTGTACAAATGATTCACCAGTCTTGTTCTGGAAATAGAAAAAAAAAAACAAAAAAATTAGAATTTTTTTTACCATGTTTATCCACGTGTGTGTGTGCGCGTGTGCACGTGTTTAATTCGACTTAACGGACACTCGATATGCTGGGATTAAGCATAAGCTAATCGTTTAATTAACAAAAATGACATTGCAAAATTTTACAAAAAATAAAAATAAAAAAAATCAAATAAATAAATTTTTATGACTTTTCCTGACATTTGAAAATTTTTTATTTTTTACCAGAGAAATAAAGGAAATAGGTATGAGAGAGAGAGAGAAAGGTAGAGAGAGAGAGAGAGAAAATATAAATGACAAAGCTAAATTTGATAGAAATGCAACAACAACAACAACAACACGATCGCGATTAATTCCATTTCATTTTTTTTTTTTTTTTTTTTTTATTACCCGGAATATAATAATTTATAGCCCGTAACTTACATATTTTTTCATTCTTTTAATGATTTAAAAGGCAAAATAATAATAATAATAATGATAATAATAATAATAATAAATTTGGAAAGGGGGAAAAAAAAAAGTAGGGAGCAAAAATTAATAACGTTGCGTTCTCTCCCTCGAAAAAAAAATTTTTTCGACCGTTAATTAATCTATCACGTGATTTACGAAAAAATTTCGACGTGGAAATAGAAAAGAAAAAGAAAATAATGCGAATCATTTTCACATTAACAACGAATTTACGTTACTCAAACACTCTGATGATGATGAGGATGAGGATGCTGCTGCGAGATGACAATAAGAAAAAAAAAAGTAATGATAATAATAATAATAATAATAAAATTATTAAGTATGTTCGTGACACGTGATACATACGACACGCATTCGAAGACGGTAAATAATAATAATAATAATAATTCCTCGCGTTTCGATGTGAAATAAAACTAACGTTCTCGTCCCCCTTGGACTATTTCATTTTGTGAATTTTAACCCGACCGACTTGCAACAAAATAAATATATATAAAAAATTTAATAATAATAATAATAATAATAATAATAATAATAATAATAATAATAATAAATAAAATCGTCAAATGTTCAAGTTCTTCCTATTTATTTTGTCCCCCCCTTTTTTTTTTTTAAATTCTCTAAAAAAAAAAAAATAGTAAGAGCATCCATTTTTCCTTTTCATCTCCGAAAAAAATAATAATAATGATGATGATGATGATGATGATGATGATGATGATGATAATAATGATAATGATAAAATTTTAATAATCGAAACGAATTTTTTTTTCTTTTTTTATAATTAAGACTTTTTTTTATAAACGAGTTAACCGAAAAAAAATTTTTTTTTTTTTTTTAATAAATAAATAAATAACGTTTCGATCACATAAATTTTTATTTTTAAATCGATTATTATTATTATTAATTGGATGTTTTTTTTTTTAACCGTAAAAAAAAAAAAAAAAAAAAAAAATTCTTTTCGAGTTCGATTTAAATAAATTTAAAAGGATTATTTCGAGATGCAAGAGAGGAGGTGGTTGCAGCAAACACACGTGCAAATCGTAAACAATAACAAAAATGTCGAATTTAATTTCGAGTTAATTCCGCCCCCCCGTCCCCCCGCCCGTAATGGCGACTCTCTTCCCACGTTTAAATTTTCTATTTTTTTTTTTTTTTTTTTGGGGGGGGGGGGATTTCGTAACGAGGTTTTCCTATCTTTTTAATAATGTAATAAATAATAATAAAAATTTATGGATGGTTTAAATAATAAACAACAACAAACAACAACAACAACAACAACAACAAGAACGAAAGTTAATAAAAACTCTACGGGATCAATTAGTGGGTTCGATTAAAGAAAATACCTTTGGTCCCTCATGGGCAAATATAAAATTTAACATCACATGGGCACACAATCGATTACTTATCATCATCATCATCATTATTATTTATAAATATATATGTACGCAAGTATTTATTTATTTATTCGTTCCCCCCGAAAAAAGAATATTTTAAAAAAATCCCCAAACCGCATACATACATAAACTGTAATTATTAAAAATTAAGTCATCGGATCGGAATAGCAGAAGATGGTAGGTAGATTATTAAACGTTACGTTAATATATACACGTTCTCGTAATAAACATGTCAAAAAAAAAGGACGTTAGGACCCGAATTTTTTTTTTTTTTTTTTTTACTTTCGAATGTTGTTCAACCTGTAAGATGAACAACAAGTTGAAGGCGATCTATGAGACAACGCACACACACACACTGATTTTTTCGGTCGTTACAAAAAAATAAAACATTCTATTAAAAAATTCATCTTTTATAAAATCAATAAATTCATTAATAATAATAATAATAATAATAATAATAATAATAATAATGATGATAGAATCGATTATGATGTGACTAATAATATGGCGACGAGAAGATTTTGTTTTTTTTATGGTCAAGTTCATTTTGAGATAATCGCGTTTTGTTTAACCACGTATGATAATCCCCTTCTTTTATCCCGTCTTTAATAACGAATTCAAGGTTTTTTCTTGTTATCGAAAAAAATTTTCCGCTTTTCCAAAAAATTACGTAATTTTCCGGGCAGCGGAGAAAGTGCCACCTACACCTAATCCAAATCCTTATAACACGCGCGTAAACGAAACATGTGTTTAAGTTCAACGACCTTTCGCGAAAATTTATTTTTTTTCCCTGCCAAAACTTTTCTTTTTTTTTCCTTCGAGTAATAATAATATTATTAATAATAGTAATAATAATAATATTAATAATAAACGGAAACTTTTGCTTTCTTGTTGATTTCTCTCGTTCGTTTTCGTTCGCGAAATGAATTTTTTTTTTTTTTTTTTGTAAAAATGGCGGTCGAAACGTTATGAAATTAATATGTGAGTGGAAAAATACTTTTTTTTTTTTTGTAGGCCGCAATTGGGCAAAAATCATTTCGTATTATTATTATTATTATTATTATTACGAAGTAGTCGATGATAATCGTACGTTAAACCTGACTTTTTTTTTTTTTTTTTTAAATTCCAGTTTTTAATTTTTTTTTATGCAATCGTTAACTGGTAACATTTTCACATCTCTTTCATTATTCTCTTTCTCTCTCTCTCTCTCTCTCTCTCTCTCTCTCTCTCTCACTCTCTCACACTCTCTCTCTCTCTCTCTCTCACTCTCTCACACTCTCTCTCTCTCTCTCTCTCTCTCTCACTCTCTCTCTCTCTCTCTCTCTCACTCTCTCACACACTCTCTCTCTCTCTCTCTCACTCTCTCTCTCTCTCTCTCTCTCACTCTCTCACACTCTCTCTCTCTCTCTCTCACTCTCTCTCTCTCTCTCTCTCTCACTCTCACTCTCTCTCTCTCTCTCTCTTTCTCTCTCTCTCTCTCTCTTTCTCTCTCTCTCTCTCTCTCTCTCTCTCTCTTTCTCTCACACTCACTCATTCCGTAATTGATTTAAACGCTTACCTGAAAGCCAACGATATTTTCTTTTCCAAACACCGTATGAGCGAATTTATGAACGTCGCCGGCACGGCCACGGCAAGCCACTTGAGTAAAAATATCGAAAAATTTCTAACGTCTTTACGAACGATGTGTTTCACCATAGTGCCCTCCATGGAAGCAACGTATATGCTCATGAACGTTCGGGCTATCAATGCGGACGTGTGAACGGTTAGCAAACCCACTTCCGGACTCAATATCCCCGGTACCATCAATTTCAACAACAACCACAAATCCACGGCGAATTCCTTGTTGACTCCGGGCAATAAAAAATTTATTATTTTTATTATTAAATTCACGTTTCCCCTTTTTTTCCTCTTATCCTTCGACTTCGGATAATTGTTGTTCGTTTGTTTTGTTATTTCGTCATCGCTGCTGCTGCTGCTGATGCTGCCGCTATTGCTGCCGCTCACAACAACCGAATCGGTTATGACGTTATCTCCGCTATTATTATTAACGCATCTTTTTATTTTAATCGTTTTTTTACTCTTCCCGCTGTCGAAAAAATACTTTTTCAAATACGGGTAACTTAATTTGATCGTGCATCCCAATAGAGCAACTCCGACTATCTTTCCAGCCAGTTCCTGATTGACTTTTGGATATTTGGCAGCTGTCTCGTTTAGGTATTTAGATATTACGTTCGGCATTTTCCTTTTTTTTTCCTTTCTTTTTCCTTTCCTTTGTTCGAAAAAAAAAAAAAAAAATTCTAATACCTGATTATTTATATCTTTGGTCTTGATGATTCTTTTATCACAAGTTACATTTGTGCCAGTTTTTTTTTTTTTTTTTTCTTCTTCTTCTTCTAATAACGACGGCTTTTATTCCTGAAATGAAAAAAAAAATAAAATAAACGATTACTTTACATTATCATTATTATTATTATTATTTTCATTTTCGAGAAAGCGAATGTTTTTTTGGTCGTTGAACTTTATACAAATCAGTGAAATTAAGAAAGTACTATTATTATTATTATTATTTAATTCTAAAAAAAAAATTCTTACGAATCATCATTACGTGACAGTGATGATAAACAACAATAATAATAATAATAATAATAATCGGAAAAAAATTACATTACGTGGGACGATGAAACTTAAATTCATTTTGGAAAACGCGTTGGAAAACTTTTACACGCACTTCAAAACCTTAGGGAGACTTCGGAAAAAAGGGAAACGGAAACTCACGAACCGCAAAATCATTCGAAAGATGTACACGTTACGAAAAATATGTGCCAAACGGTTTTACACAGTAATAAATTCAAATCAGGTATCGAGTAAGAAATAATGTCAAGGGCGAGTTTTTTTTTTTTTTTTTACAGTCCGATGAATATGCACGTAATACGCACACACGCGCGCACGCACACAATTTTAAAAGTTTCGAAAAAAAAAAAAAAAATCAACTTATTAATAATAATATTCTGTCGTCGTAAATAAAATAATAATAATAATAATAATATGATACACATGTATTAAAAAAAAAAACTTGATTTTTTTTTTTAAACATTCCATAACTGTCCTTAAATTATATTAAACGATTAAGACGACCTTCTTCACAAGTTTGGTTTTTACAAGTTTTTTTCTAGAAAAAAATAATAATAAAAAATACGAAGAGGAAGTATAAGGAGAAATCATATAGAATTTACATAGCAACATTTAAATCATTATTATTATTATTTTTAATAAAATTATTGATGAAAACGATATGCAACAATCTTTTCCCGCCATTTTTTTCCCCCCAATTCCTTTTCGATTCCCTCTCCACTTTTGTAAAAATTATTAAAAAAAAAAAAAAAATATAATATTCACAATGATAATAAATCTTAACTGGTGGTGGTAGTGGTGGCGGTGATGGTGGTGGTGGTGGTGGTGGTGATGGTGGTAATAAAGAAGATAAAACTAATTACTGCGGTAAATTTATAAATTACTTTCAAGGTAGTTAATCTCATTAGGGAGGTAATAAAGAAACTCTTAACGTTAACGCGTTTAAAATCAAAAAAAACTTCCAGAAAAAAAAAAAGTGGCAAAGACTAATTTTTAAAACCCACACTAACCTCGGATTTAAAAAAATTTTTTCACCCTCCCCTCCCCCCCCGAAAACAAAATTAATTAATTAAAGTCAAAGAAAAAGGACAAAAATCGTTGACGTTAAAAAAAAAAAAATGAAAATAAAAACATTCAACACAATTTTTAACGGTAATTAATCGCGGGGAAAAAATAAGTAGAAAAAAAATTTGTTTTTTTTTTTATTGCATATATGCCCTTAACATTTACATATACACACATATACACGCATACTCACGCATACACACGCATACTCACGCATACACACGCATAAATTCGCATACATAAATATATAACAGTAAATTACAACGTGAGTCAAACGTCCATTGTTTTTTTTGTCGTTTGTTTCTCCGCATAGCGACAAAAAGAAATTTTTTTTTTTTTTTTAAATGTCTGGAACCCACAAAAAACTTTTATTATTATTATTATTATTATTATTATTATTATTATTATTATTATTATTATTATTATTATTATTATTATTATTAATATTATTATTATTTTCTCCATGAAATGCGTGACAGTTTCCGCATGATGGTAATTTCGTTTTTATAACTATTCGGTTATATAAATATTGTGAAGAAAGTCGTTGTTGAATGAACATTTATTCCCGGATATATTGTAATCATTCTCACATTACAATAACTTTTCTCGCAATGCAAAAAAAATTGATTTTTCCCGACATCGAAAGAGAGAGAGAGAGAGAGAGAAAATTTATGGAATGGAAAAAAACATACATATCGCGCGACAAATAAGCGCATACGTGTAAAAAAAAATAAAAAAAAATTAATTATTCCTATCACCGCTCAATGTTTTCCTTAATGAAATGTACGAAGAAAAAAAACACAAATAATAATAATAATAATAATAATAATAACCCGAGACGAAACCTTGAAAATTTTTCCCCCCCCCCACATTTCCTATTACGATATCAAGTCACTCGTGATATCAATATGACTTACTAAAATGAGTTGGTTGGTCGGTCCTACCCAATCTTCAAAAAAATTTTTTTTTTTTTGTGATTAAAGGCCAGCGAAAAAGGAAAGGTTCTAATGCCACGACGACCGGGGTTGTCGTCGTGGCATTGTAAAGACCCTAATTTGTAAATTTTTATAAAAACGGTACTTTAAAAATCCCGGTTCAAAAAAAAAACCAAACACCCTTGCAAATTTACATTATCAAGGAAAACATTTAAATAATTAATTTTCCTTTTTTTTTTTTTTTTTTTTTTGTAATAAAACTTGATAGTGAAATTCACTTGGGTGGTAAAATTTAAATGTGTGTGCGTTTCCTACCCCACCCCCACCCCTTCACCCCATCTCCCTCCCTTTTTTAATCTCATTTAATGAAGAAAAAAACGGTTTCCATGATGATAATATTAATAATAATAACAATCAAGGTCGTATAATAATATCATTGATAATCGTGGTAAATGTCATTTCAATGTCCATCATATCATTATCATTACCATCATTATTATTATTATTATAATTATTATTATTATTATTATTATTATTATTACGGTTTTAACTTTGAAAGAAATCACATCGAATCATCTCAATTTAAATACGAACGAACAATAATCAAATGTTAAAAAACAGTTTTATCATTATTATTTTCCACCATTTTCTTTTTTTCCACAGCATCCGTTGTTGCGGGCAAACATGGTAAATGTTTGTTTGTTTGTTTAAACACTCGCAACTCATAAACTCATAAATAAAATGAAAAAAAAATTTTTTTTTAAATAAATAAACGCACGGCACGTTTTATTTCCTTAAAATTTGCTGCCTTAATCAAAGCAAAATAAAACAAATAAGGAATTAGCAATCATAGCAAAAACAATTTTTTAAACCGATCTCCATCAAATAAGGAAGAAAACATGGGAGAAAGTGAAAGTGAAAGAAAGGAAAGAAAGCATCATGTTCCAACAAAAAAAAAAAAAAAAAAAAAATTTTTTTTCTTGTAATGAAATTCTAATGAACTTACGAACCGCGTGTGTTGTTGTTTTTCTTTCATAATAAATTTAAAATTTCTCCATCCACCCGTGTGAATTTTTTTTTTACACAATATAGCCAAAAAAATTTTACAAAACAACTACCGCAAAAAAAAAATAAAAAATAAAAACAAACAAACAAACAAACAAACGGACAATTTAGAAAGTTACATGCAATGAATTCAACTCGGCGAATAATTTTCGTCACCGAATTCGACACATGTGGTAAATTAAAAACGTTTTATCAGTAGGAAAAACTCTTTATCAAAAAATTGAGGAAGGAAAACAAAAAAAAAAAACACTCAAATAGCAGACGAAAAACTATCAACAATAATAATAATAATAATAATACCCCGCCTACCCCGTATATCCTATACAAATTTTCTAATTTTCACATAATACGAAATATTTTAAACACATCATCATCATCATCATTGTATCATAAAATCTTACAACCTGTAAGTAATACAACAGTACAACAACAACAACAACTACAACAATAACAATAACAACAACAACAACAACAAATCTCGTAATCGATTTACTTTCCCTTTCTCGAGTTTGTTTTGCTCTTATAAAGCAAAATTCGCATCATCTTCTTTTGTGAACCCACGAATTATTACATAAAAATCAAATTTTTTATACGAAAAAAAAAAAAAAAAAAATGGAAAGTAAAACGAATGGAGCGAGAAAATTTTCTTTTTTTTCTTTTAAATTTTTTTTATTTTTAATTATCAGATATTCGACTTGTGCCAAGTATGTTAATGGTTCTAGGTTTTTTTTTTTTATATACCTTATTCATTTCTTGAATGGATAATTAATAATAATAATAATGTCGAATCAATCAAGGTCGATTTTGATTTTTTTTTATTTTTTCCTGGAGAGTTAATAATTATGCCACTACTCACGACGACTACTACTACTACTACTACTACCACTACCACTACTACTACTACTACCACTACTACCACGACTACTGCTACTATTACCACTACTACTACTACTGCTACTATTACCACTACTACTACTACTGCTACTATTACCACTACTACTACTACTACTGCTACCACTACAACAACCCGTAATTTAATTTTAACGGTCGTCAGTCAGTCAGTCATTTGATGAATATGCATTTTCATTATTTTTTTTTTTTTAAACGATTTTGTTGTTCGATGAGTGGGGGGTGGGGAGGAAAACAAACAAACAAACAAATAATTTTTTTTTCGTTAAATTCATACCGGGCACGATTCCCTGTCGTAAAAATTAAAAACTTTAAAAATAATTCAAAAACAAAAAAAAAAAAAAATTAAAAAAACATGGCTATCGTTCCGTTCTAAATCCAAAGATAAAAAAAAAAAACGAATCGACCATTAATAAATTTAACGTTTTTTGTTTTATCAATAACACATACATTCTTTCTATTTATTTAAACAAATTTTTCAAAATTTAATAAATAAATAAAAAAAACCAAAAACAAAAAAAAAAAAAAAAAAAAACCGGAAATTCGAATCGAACCCACGCACTCCAACTTCGGTCTCCGACTCCACGCTCAAAACAAATTCCTTTTATTTATTTATTTTCTAACACGCGATAA